TTTTTGATTACAAAAATTCCCCAACACAAAACTACTAGAAAAATAAAAAATCTCGAAAGACTCGTAGTGCAATGTCTTTACCCAACTCAAAAAATTGCAAAAATTTCTTGTTGTAGTAACTATAAAAATTGAGTTCCAAAAATGTAAAATTATTGCTACAAAGAAATCAAATAAATTATAGAGCCTAAAAGAATGCAGTGAAATTTTTTTACTAAGAATTTTCCCTAACACAAAAAATTGTAGAAATTTCTAACTGGTGTAATTACGAAAACTAAATTCCTAAAAGGCAAGAATAATACTCAAAACAAATAGAAGAATATAAAAAATGAGCTTGAAACACCACAGTGGAATTTTTTTACTAAAAAAGTTTCCCAAAGAAACTCTTAAAAAAAAACAAAATTCTCCGACATAAAAAATTGTACGAATTTCTTACCGGTGTGACTGCGAAAACTAAAATCCTAAAATGAAAAAACATTGCTCAAAACAAATTAGAAAATAAACAAATGAGCTTTAAAGAGTGTAGCGGAATCATTTTTATTACAAAAATTCCCCAATACAAAACTACTATAAAAATAAAAAATTGAGCTCGAAAGACTTTAGTGGAATGTCTTTACCCAGCAAAAAAACTTGCAGAAATTTGTTGCTAGTGTAACTATAAAAACTGAGTTCCAAAAATGTAAAATTATTGCTACAAAGAAAGGAAATAAATTATAGAGCCTAAAAGAGTGCAGCGAAATTTTTTTACTAAGAATAAATTGTAAGAATATCACTAAAAACTACTAGAAAAATTAAAAAAAATTGAGTTTGCAATAGAGCACTAGAAATTTTAAGAAAAATATTCCCTAACAAAAAAACTAGTAGAAATTTCTTACTGGTGTAACTGCGAAAACTAAATTGCTAAAATGTAAAATTACTAGTAAAAAAAAGAAAAAGAAAATAAAATTAACTTGAAAGAGTGCAGTGAATTTGTTTTTTCATTGAAAAAAATTCCCAACAAAAAAAATTATTGAAATTTATTATTGGTGTAATGTGAGAATATTACTCCAAACTTCTACAAAAATAAAAAAGAGCTTGAAAGAATGCGTCGGAAATTTTTATTAAAAAGATTCCCCAACAAAAAAAATGTAGAAATTTTTTACTGGTGTAAAATTGAATACTAAATTCCTAAAATGTAAGAATATTACTCGAAACTATTAGAAAAATAAAAAAAAAAACTAGCTTGAAATACTACCAGCGAAATTTCTTACTGGTCTAACTACAAAAACTAAATTTCGAAAGTGTAAAAAAACTAGTCAAAACAACTAGAAAGAAAAAATGATCTTGAAAGAGTGTACTGAATATTTTTATCAAAGAAATTCCCAACAAAAAAAATTACAGAAATTTCAGACTAGTGTAACTACGAAAATTAAATTTCTAAAATATAAGAATATTACTCAAAACTTCTAAAAAAAATGAAACAAGAGCTTTAATAAGTGTATAGGA